TAATGCAGTCAGCATCGACGCCTTGCCGCCGAAGGGCATCAAACAGAGTCTCGTATTCCATACTGTCGAAAGCGTTGCGTATCCAGATTTGCGCACCATAGCAGCGCCTGCCATTCGATACGTTTACCGCGTGCCAGTTCAAATGCCAGAAACGCGTCATCCACCCAATGGTTGGGTCCGAAACCGACCTGGTCGGGCCCTTGCGCCTGCTCGAGAACGCTGCGTAGCCGATGGCACAGCATGCGAGATAATGTTTTGCATGTTGGCTTGATTATAGCAGTTGGCCCCCAGTTTTGCGGCTGTGCCAAATCCACAGACTTAGGGAGCATTGCAAATAGTGTGTCTTCCACCAGTCTTCCACATCCCACGTCTCCAATAGTTCGTGTTAGAAGAACAATAAGCGATCGATAAACGTGCCAGTAGCGTGTTTGAACATTTCCGCGACGATGCACTCTGAGTCGGCGCCCTTCTTGTTGCCCAACGCTTTTATTGCTTCAGTGAGTTCCGCCTAGGTGAATTTGGGAATGTTCGCCACGCGCGGCAGCCCGACATTTCCCGCGGCGGCACCGCTGTGGACGAGAAGATGCCCTCCGAGACCGATGCAAAACGCAGAACTCGCTAAAGGATCGGTTCAGCTCGCTCGCTTTCCTGCCCCGCAGCTCGACACGCACAGTTCGGCGAATACGCTTGGATATGTCCTGCCTGGCTGCAGACCCGTACGGAAGAGGACGACGTTGACGCAAGCGTAAATGGAGAGCAGTATGGAGAGCAGTCTGCTTCCAAAAGATACACTGTTGGTCCTGTTGTTCGGCGTGCCCCGGCGCAGAGGCGGTCAAGCGTGCATCCAAAGCATGCAGGTTATTTGGAGGGGAGGAAAACGATATGTTTTCGTCGGACACGCGTTTGGCAGCAAGTTCCCCACACATGGAAGCATATTCAGACTGTGGGACTCCGCATGGTAATATTCCAAACGAATATGGAAGTAATCCTCATCGTTGTCGTTGTGGCTGGTATCTGCTGGTTCGCGCCGACGCTTACAAGCTTGATTGAGGATGGCCGCCTCGGATTACAAAGAACGCTCGACAAAGCAAGCTCGAGACTCAAGATTCCGACCCCCAGGTGTCACCAACCATGTGTTTTCACAGGGAACCCCGATGGCCGCGTCGGATGAACAAGATGAAGCGGGGGGCCCACGGGGAGGGATTCCCACTCGAGACTTCTCGCGATTCATGACAGGCGGGCGCCCGAGGCGTCCCCTCACTTTGCTTGGGAACGAGGCTTCCGCTCGAGACTTCCTCTGGATCCATGCTCCCAGAGTCCCGATGGCCGCCTCGGATTACCAACATGGAGCTGGGGACCTCATAGGGAGGGGCCTCCTGCTCGAGACATCCCCTCCGTTCGTTCGGGAGCGAAGCTCCCGCTCGAGACCTCCTCGGCGTTCAAGCTCCCAGGTGTCACCAGACCGGTGCTTTCTAGTGGTTGCCGATGGCCGCCTCGGGTTCGGACATGGATGTGGGGGCCCCGCAGGGAGGGGCTCTCACTCGAGGTTTCCTCGCGATTTCAGCACAGACGAGTGAGCGCCAGAGACACATGTTTGTAAGTTTGCTCAGGACCGCTCGAGGCTGCTTCTGGACTCAGGGCCCCAGGTGTCACTAAACTGTGTTTTGTATAGGGTTTACGCTGGCCGCTTCGGGTCTGGGCATGGAGGTGGGGACCCTAGAGAGAGGAGCTCCCGCTTGAGACTTTCTCGCGATTCACTCACAGACGAGTGAGCGCCAAAGACATCCTCCCAGTTTGTCCAGGACCGAAGCTCCCGCTCGAGGCTTCCTCGGGATTCGGGACCACAGGTGTCATCACATCTGTTTGCTTTATCATTTTCCGACGGCCGCGCGGGCCTCGAACATGGAGATGGGGACACCATAGGGAGGGGCTGCCGCTCGAGATTTCCTTGCGATTTCCTCTCAGACGAGGCTCCCGCTCGAGACTTTCGCCAGGTGAGTGTGCGACTGTGTGAGTGAGTGAGTGTGTGTGTGTGTGTTAACGGTGATACATATGACGATGATAATGATGATGCTGATGCTGATGATGATGATGATGATGATAATGACTCTGATGATGATGAGGATGATGATGCTGCTGATGATGATGATTGCCACGATCACGATGACATGGTGATGGTAATGAGGATGGTGTTGACGATGACGACGGTTGCAATGGGTGACGATGGTAAAGCTTATGATGATGGTGATGATGATGCTGATGATGCCAATGATGACGGTAGTGGCACTCATGATGGCGTGTGTGTGTGTGTTTGTGTGGAGTTCTTGTTCTTGTGCAGGGCGTCCAGAGAATACAAGAGCCCCCCGACGATGGGGGGAGAAGAGCCCCACTCAGGCAGGATGTACAGTCGGGGCCCTGAAGAAGAAACCCTTTTCGTTGGGGAGGGGCTCCGCGTTCCTTATGTGTTTCACAGCTTGCCCCGCGTTTTCCCTAGGTCTTCGACAGGAAATCGAAGGTTAACTTATGGAAAAAAGGGGCCTCGTTCCTTATTGAGGGTTCCGTAGGTCAACGCCCCGACTGTAGGGAGAACGTCCAGGTCACCAGGGGGCCGTGGGTCCCGCGGGGCCTCCGCGGGGCCCGTGCTGGAGCGACGCCCGAGCGAGAAGGTGCCCCCGCGAACCCGAGCACGGCCCCCAGGGGGAGAGCCGAGCTCCGCGCGGCCCTCGCCGCGTCGAGAGGGCGTTCGGGGCACCACGACTCCGCGGGCCTGTCTTGTCACTCGGCCAGGGCCGGAAGGCAAAAGGAAAAACAAATAACACATAATACAGTCGGGGCGCTGAAGAAGGAACTCTTTTCGTTGGGTAGGGGCTCCGCGTTCCTTAATTGTTTCACAGCTTGCCCCGCGTTTTCCTTAGGTCTTCGACAGGAAATCGAAGGTTAACTTATGGAAAAAAAGGGCCTCGTTCCTTATTTAGGGTTCCTTAGGTCAACGCCCCGACTGTAGGGAGAACGTCCAGGTCGCCAGGGGGCCGTGGGTCCCGCGGGGCCTCCGCGGGGCCCGTGCTGGAGCGACGCCCGAGCGAGAAGGTGCCCCCGCGAACCCGAGCACGGCCCCCAGGGGGAGAGCCGAGCTCCGCGCGGCCCTCGCCGCGTCGAGAGGGCGTTCGGGGCACCCGGAGCCCCCCGGCGCCGCGGGCCTGTCTTGCCACTCGGCCAGGGCTGGAAGGCAGAAGGAAAAACACATAAAACATCATAGATATCGATGTGAAGCGGATAAAGGCATAACACAAAAATATGAAACAATGAAACATGAATAACCATGAAAAACACAACGATTACAGATGAAACAATAAAGCAACACACATATATATATATATATATATGTATGTATAGATATAAATCGGCCAGGGCCAGTTCTGAGTCGGTCTTTGGCTGGCGGCCCCCGGGCCAGGCCGAGAAGGCTCCCAAGAGCCGGGAGGCCCCTCGCGGCTGGGGCTCGGGGCGCTAGGGACGGGGGGGCACGGCGAAGGGGGGCACGGGGAGCGCCGCTTTTCCACGTCCGGCTGTGCCCCCGTTTTGGGGGGGGCCTGGGCGTAAAACGACGCGAAGATCGGGACAAAATCGGATCGGGATAACTCGAAATCTCTGAGAATCGGCGGGTTTGGAGGATGTATTGGGCGCCGCGGCCGCTCCAGAGCTTTCCGGAACGCTCTGAGAGCGCTCCGGAACGCTCTGGAGCGATTTATCCCGATCCTAGCCCTGTTTTAGGGCGCCGCAGACGGGGGCACAGTAAACGGGGGCAGATGGAACAGCCTACAGCCGGCGCGGATTGGTAGGTCGACCCTGCCAGCTCAGGGGGTACTCGTGTGTCTTGCGCCTCGCGACGCGTGCCTTCTTGCACTCCTGTGGCGATGTGGCCCTCGGAAGGGTCTCGTGTCCTCTCGCGTGCCCTGTCCAATCAAGGCCGACTGTACAGTCAAAAACCCGAATCAGGACGCGCAACTTTGCTCAGTGTACCCTCGCGTCCTTGCTCTTCCTTGCTCTTGCGTCCTTGAGGTGTTCGTCGTCCGCCGCCCCAGAAAGCCCACCTTCGGCTTCCAAGGGTCTTGCGTCCTTGCCGCGCGTCCTTATTAGGGTTTTTGATTATGCCAAGAGGGAGGCGGCAAGGAGGAGGGGGGCGCCGGGGGCTGCGGCGTGATGCCGTGGCAGGTATGGCTTTTGCACACGCTCGCGGAGGAGCCCCCGTTTAGCGAAGCCCCCGTCGACGAGGCCCCGTTTAACGAAGCCCCCGTCGACGAGGCCCCGAGGAGCGAGCGCGCCGCGCCGCGCCGAGGGCCTTCTTCGCCCGCGGCGGGAGGGGGCCTCCGGGCTCGAGGGGCCCAGGGCGCCCCGGCCCGCCCCCCTCCTCGGCGCGAGCTCGCGGGGGGGCGATCCATCTCGGGAGGGGAGGAGCACATGGGGGGGATGCATCGACCTGGAATCGGGGATACGTCGCCGATAGATCGGCAATAGGCCTTCGATAGCGAGTCCGCACCTTCCTGGGCAGGGTGGGGCTGACGGGCCTCTATCGGCGATCATTGGACGATTGGGGGTCGATGCATCCCCCCCTGTGCCTGTCCCCCCTATCGTTGCCCCAGAAGATATGGGAGAATATGGGAAGTTTGGGGGGAAGGCCAGGGCCCAGAAGATGTGGGCAAGGATCGGGGATCCTGCTATCTGTGTCTGTGTATTTGTGTGCCCCAGGGCCCCTTCACAATCGGGGGTGGCAGCGAGGGCTGCCGAAGAGGGGCCCTCGGGGGCCCCGCCCTGAAGGGCCCGGAAGGGGGGCTTTTAGGGCCCGCGAGGGGCACTTTTCTCCCCCCCGCGTCTGTCGCCCCCCCCCTCCCCCGCTGGTTCGCGCCCAAGCCTCCCTCCTTGCCAAAGGTCGCTAGGCACTGCCCCCCCCCCCTCATGCGCCGCCCCTCCGTCAATCCGCGCCCAACCCTCCCCCCTTGCCAGAGGTCTGGCCTGCCCGTGCAGGAGTCGGGCAAGGCGCGCGGCTCCGCTCCTGCCGTGCGGGGGGGGGGGGGAGGGTAAAGGGTCTTAGACAAGTCCCCTGAGAACAGCAGTTTTCAAGGTTAGCCAGCGACAATGAAAGAGCGTTCCAACCATCTTGTGTTTACCAACTGGATTGATTGAGCGCAGGATTTCAACATGATCCCTTTGGTGGCACATCGCAAATTAAATCCCTCGGGTCCTCTTGTTTTGTGGAGTAGAATGTTACAACCCCACTACGACCGTCCCAGTACTAGAGCTCCAGTAGTACAGCCCCAACTCCAGCTTCACTATTACCGCCCGAGTTCTACAGCTCCAGTAGTACAGGCCCAATACTACAGCCCCAATATCACAGCCCCAATATCGCAGGCCCCAGTATTTCCCAGGGGTACTTAGGAAGAAACCAGGAGGAGGGGGAGGAGGAGGAGGAGGAGGAGGAGGAGGAGGAGGCAGAGGAGGAGGAGCAGGAGCAGGAGGAGGAAGAGGAGGAGGAGGACCAGTGTAAACCCAAGAGGCATAACAGATGTTGGAATAAACCCTCTCTCCAAGCTCCCTGTTCACAGGCCCCTACCACGGTTCATTTCCACTGAATGAACTGCCTCGGTGGAAGACAACCGTTTGAAGACTCTGAAGCATGCCTAAGCATTGTTCTCGGGATTCTTTACGCTTCGCGTATCCCCACCAGCCCATCTCACAACAGCAACTCATGCGAAGCATGGCGACAGTCGTGTTTTTCAGGCGTGTGTCCGTTTGGCCCCGCATATCTCCCCTGTTCCTCCTTCCTCCCGCTTCCTTGTACATCCTCCTTGTGGGGGGAGCGGGAGAAGGACGAGGCGGAGGAGGAGGGAGAGAAAGCGCTCCTCGTGATTTGAGTCGTTTGGGGTTTCTCGTCCTGGTGTGAGTCGTTCGGGCCCTTCTTCCTGGTGTGAGTCGTTCGGGCTCTTCGTGGTGTGAGTCGTTCGGGCTCTTCGTCCTGGTGTGAGTCGTTCGGGCTTCTCGTGGTGTGAGTTGTTCGGGCCCCTCATCCTGGTGTGAGTCGTTCGGGCCCCTCCTCCTGGTGTGACTCGTTCGGGCTCCTCGTGGTGTGAGTCGTTCGGGGCCCGCGTCGTGGTGTGAGTCGTTCGGGCTCCTCGTGGTGTGAGTCGTTCGGGCGCCTCGTCCTGGTGTGAGTCGTTCGGGCCCCTCCTTGTGGTGTGAGTCGTTCGGGCTCTTCGTGGTGTGAGTCGTTCGGGCCCCTCGTCCTGGTGTGAGTCGTTCGGGCTCCTCGTGGGGCCTCTTGGGGGCCTCTTGGAGCCTCTTGGGGCCTCTTGGGGGCCTCTTGGGGGCCTCTTGGGGGCCTCTTGGGGGCCTCCTGGGGCCTCTGGGGGCCTCTTGGGGGCCTCTTGGGGGCCTCTTGGGGGCTTCTTGGGGCCTCTTGGGGGCCTCTTGGGGGCCTCTTGGAGGCCTCTTGGAAGGCTCCTGGGGGCCTCTTGGGGCCATCTTGGGGCCTCTTGCGACCTCCTCAGAAGCGCAAAGAAGCGCTGCCCCCTGAGAAGGACAACATGACCCCAAAACCATCGTAAAATCAACGATTCTGCTATGAAGGAAGATGAGCGCGGCCCCCTCGGGAGGCCAAAATGGGGCCAAAATCTTCGTAAAAGCAAGGATTTTGGCTTCACAGAAGAGGAGAGGGTTTTTTCTGGGCCCCGCCGACGGGGCCAGAATCCTCGTGAGGGTCGTCGTTTTTTGGCCCTCCCAGGAGTCGAAGAAGACCCCTCCAACCACCCGCGGGACGCCCTCTCCAGGCCCAGGGGGAGGGGGTAGGGGGAGGGGTAAACCCCTCCCCGAAGGGGAAGAAGGGGGGTTGAGGACAGAGGGGGCTCTCTAAACCACTCACGCCCTAAAGGGCTGGTGGGATTTCGACGCCACGGATCAACCTGACTGTTGCGTCTTGGCGGTCCGGAATCGTGCCAGAACGCCATTCCAAGGACTTCACGACACAGCGAACCAACCTAACTGTTGCACCCGCATTGTCTTAAATCTTTACAACGCACAAGTTGTGGTACGTTGATGGTGGAAACCCGTGAAACTCTTGAAAAGGTTATAAATCAATGTGCGCAGCCCTCAATCCGTGAAGTTTTTTGCAAATGTTTGAAACGAGTGTGCGAGGCGCGAAGGCGAGAGCCACATGTTGAAAACCACCCGCCCTCAATCCGTGAAGCTCCTGCTAATGTTTAAAACGAATGTGCGCGGCGCTAAGGCGAGAGCCACATGTTGAAGACGACCCGCCCTCAATCCGTGAAGCTCTTGCAACTTGTTTAAACACATGTGCGCGACGCTAAGGTGAGAGGCGCATGTTGAAAACCACCCGCCTTCAATTTGCGAAGCTCTCGTAAAGCGAATGTGCGCGGCGATAAGGCGAGAGCCACATGTTGAAAACCACCCGCCTTCAATCCGTGAAGCTCTCTTGCAAATTGTTAAAAATAATGAGCGCGGCGCTAAGGCGAGAGCCACAGGTTGAAGACGACCCGCCCTCAATCGGTGAGACGGTTGCTATTTTTGAAGTTTCGCAGTCATACATGGTGAGGAAGTCTCAGGCGAAACGCCCGGCACGCCCTAAAAACTGGCTTCGGGGCCTAAAACCGTTTTTTGTTAACAAGGAAAATGAATGTAGGAGGAGGAG